CCATCTTCTCCCGCCCGGGGGAGAACACCAACAACCTTCCCGGACATCCCCGTATGCGAGCGACCATGTTTATTCCATCAATAATGTCCGAGATGCGCCGGTCGGCCGCGCTAGCGCTCCTCGGCCTGTCGTGGAGCGCCGTCGTGAGCGCCGCTTCCGCGAGCGACTATTTTGTCAAGTCACTACCTGGTGCGCCTCCGGGACCACTACTGAAGATGCACGCAGGGTAAGAACTACAGCAATTGCTACTCCTCCCCCGGTCGACATGATGGAACCGACGTCAAATCAACCCGAGAAGCCATCACGGCTGGAACTCAGCGCTGGCCGGTCTGCTGACACGCGAGCACGCTTCATGCAGTCACATCGAGGTCACACCCGAGCACAACGGCAACTTGTTTTTCTGGCACTTCCAGAACAAGCACATCGCCAACAGGCAGCGCACAGTTATTTGGCTCAATGGCGGTCCGGGCTGCAGTTCCATGGACGGCGCCTTGATGGAGGTCGGCCCCTACCGGCTGAAGGATGAGAACACGCTGGTGTACAACGAAGGCTCGTGGTCCGAGTTCGCCAACATTATGTTTATCGACAACCCCGTCGGCACCGGCTTCAGCTACGTCAACACAGATAGCTTCGTCACGGAGCTGAACCAGATGGCCGACCAGTTCATCCAGTTCCTCGAGAAGTGGTTTGCGCTGTTTCCGGAGTACCAGAATGACGATGTAAGTTTGAGGCTGTCTACACCCTGTCCTATCCTCGCTCTTTGAAACATTTGCGGCTATACGACCCCGTCCACTAACAACGTATCTCTGCGACATCAGCTCTATTTTGCTGGAGAATCATACGCTGGTCAGCATATCCCGTACATCGCGAAGCACATCCTAGATCGGAACAAGAATAAAAACCCGGGCGAGAGATGGAACCTACAAGGCCTCCTGATTGGCAACGGATGGATCTCTCCCAAAGACCAATACCCAGCATATCTCGACTTCGCCTACGAGAAGAAGCTGATCGAGAAGGGCTCCGACGTTAGCCGGAAGCTGGAAATGCAGCAGCAAATATGTATGAAGGACATCGCCGCATCGCCCCACATGGTTGACGCGGCGCACTGCGAGGCGGTGCTTCAGGACATGCTCAAGCTCACCGCCAAGGTCGAGGCGGACGGACAAAGGCACTGCAAGAACATGTACGACATACGCCTTACCGACACATACCCGAGCTGCGGCATGAACTGGCCCCCGGACCTGACCAACGTCAAGCCGTACCTGCGCAAGCCCGACGTCGTCAGTGCTCTGAACATCAACTCCAACAAGGTCACGGGCTGGACCGAGTGCAATGGAGCCGTTGGTAACACATTCCGCTCCGGGGACTCGACGCCTTCGATTGAGATACTACCAGAGATCCTGAAGGAAATACCCATCCTACTCTTCTCCGGAGCCGAGGACCTCATCTGCAACCACAAGGGCACCGAGGCCATGATCGGCAACATGCAGTGGAACGGCGGTAAAGGCTTCGAGCTGAGCCCGGGCACCTGGGCCCCGCGGCGCGACTGGACCTTCGAGAACGAGAACGCGGGTTTCTGGCAGGAGGCGCGCAACCTCACGTACGTTGTCTTTTACAACGCGTCGCACATGGTGCCCTTTGACTACCCGCGCCGCACACGCGACATGCTGGACCGTTTTATGGCTGTCGATATCAGCAGCATTGGCGGCAAGCCGACCGACAGTCGCCTTGATGGCGAGAAGGGCCCGGCGACGGCGGTTGGTGACGGCAAGTCGCCAGCCCAGGAGGAAGAGGCGAAGAAGAAGGTGGACGAGGCCAAGTGGTACGCATACCGCAAGTCGGGCGAGGTCGTGCTCGTCATTGTTGCCGTCGCAGCCGCCGCCTGGGGCTGGTACATCTGGCGCGACCGCCGTCGCCGCCGGGGCTACCAGGGTGTGTTTGGCGGCTCGCCCAGCGAGTCGTCCACCAGGTTGGCGGGTGGCGCTGGCGCTAGCGGGAGCCGCAACTCCGGACCCGACGGCTTCCGATCAAGGCGGTCCAACCGCGACGTCGAGACCGCAGATTTTGACGAGAGCGAGCTGGATGACCTGCACGTTCAGACACCGGTTGAAGCCAGGTACAGCGTCGGTGCGGACAGTGACGACGAGGATACTAGCGGCGCTCGTAAGGAGGGCGCCCAGAAGGGGAGCGCTCGTGGCGGGAAGGCACAATGACGAGACCCACCAGACAGCACTAGCTTCCCTTGACCAGACTTCACATCTGCTGGGCTAGTTTGAATCATCAAGGTCGATGCTTGGGTGCCCCTGACCAGCGTAGTATTTCCGACTACTGCTCCAGCAACGCGCACGTCTGGTGTCGTAAGCGCGGACGCCTGGAATTTGATGGAAAGGTAGATGTGACTGTCGGTTTCTTTGAACAACTCTTGCAGGCACGAAGGCGTCAGGCAATATTTCGTGGAGCCGTCTCAAAACAAGGGCGCGCTCGGTCACCGGAACGAAAATATACAATACGGAATCAAAGCGGTCAGGCGTACAGGCTTTTCCTTCCCTTGTTTTCTTTTACGTCACTACCTGGCAGGCATTTTGTGGGATTTTATAAACATTATCTATTACATGTTTTACTAGTTCTCTATTTTCCCGCTTTCTTGGGTTTGATATCCGCATGGCTCAAGTGACGTAGTGCTGTCCGGCTTTAGGAGTTAACCCCCGGCCGCGCGTAGGTTTCTGTCGACGAAGGCCGGGAGATGTGTAAGCGCAACCTCATGCCAAGCCTGCTGCTGGAGCGCGCGGCGCGGCGCCTGCCGACAGACCATACGGCGGCGGCGTACCCGTCCAACAGGGTGTGGGTCGAGGACAAGGAGTCGTTCCCGCGGATGCTGCGGCGTGCCGGGTACGCGGTCGAGGAGGCGGTGGTGGTGCTAGGCGGGATCTCGGGCCGCGGTGACGTCGAGTACGGGGCGGGGCGGGTACGGGGCGGGGCGGGTGGACGAGCTGTTCGAGCAGGCCGCGCGGTCGTCCCTCACGGCTGGGCTGGCCGTCGACGCGTGGGTGGAGAAGGTGAGGCCGCTGTTTCGCGAGGAGTGGGACAAGGCCGCGGTTGGCGGGAAGGTGGAGAGTGTCGATGCTGTCTATGTCTACCTTGCTAGGGCAGCGTGATGGAGCTGCTTGGCCGTCATGTTACTACCTAGCCCAGGGTGACAGACGCTACGGGAAGAGTCATCGTATCTCAACGTGGTATGGTGCCCCGACAACAGTGTTTCGAATATCTCAAATGTAGAGGAAAGATACATTTCTAGCCCAATGGTTCATCTTCATGTCTCGCCGCTGGCTATTGCCATTCGACTTTAAGCCCATCTAAAGGCATTGCCTTGAAGGGTATAGGAAAACGAGTTCTCGAACAACGACGACAAATATCACCGAAACAAAACCGTGTGCCGAGGATGTAATTGTAAAGAAATCACGCCGCTCTGTAAATGTTCGCGGCAAGGCCAGAATACCCCTTATGCTCCAAAGAAAACCAGAGACCCACTCGCGCCCTCCTCAAAGCTGCGCGACGTTGTTCAGGATGGTGACCTCCTCGCCCGGCTTGAAGGGCGGCAGGCCGATGTAGGGGCAGTCGGCGCAGCGGAAGGCGTCGCCGAGCGAGCAGCTGTTGCACGAGCCCGTCTTGCCCTGGACGGTGAAGTCGAGCTCTGCTAGGTCCTCGGACGCGAGCTTGATCGTCTTGAGCTGCGCGTCCGCCTTGTCCCGCCTGGCCTTGTCCTTGGCCTCCAGCCGCTCCGCGAGCCCACACGTACAGTCCTTGCACGCGCGCCGCTTCTTGCCCGGCTTGGGTGCGCACTCGGGTGCTGAAAATGGGAGAAGGGGTCTCGAGTTAGTTAGGGATTCATAACAGACACGATATGTGTCTCCGGTGGGGGTGCCAAGGAGGGGGTTGCGACTCACGCTGCTGGATTGGCCTCATCAGGTCCTCCTCGTTCATCAGGTCATCCTCATCAATGACGTCGTCGTCGTCCGAAACATCAAAGCCGTCGTCGTCGAGGTCGACCATCACCACGCCGCTCGGCAGGGACTTGGCCGCCGCAGGTGGGGCTAGTGCCGGTGCTGACGCCGCCGTGACCGGGGTCTGCACCGGCCCACCGGCACCGCCATTGGCTGTCGGGGCCGCCGCCGCCGCTGTTACGTCACCATTCGTCTTGCTCTTATTCTTGTTCTTCCCGAACCGCAGCGGCACGGCGGCGCCCTCCCCGAACCCGGGCTTGGCGAACCCCCCGCTCCCGTCCGCGGCCTCGACGAGCCCGGCTAGGATGGCCTCCCTCGCGACGGCGG